ACCACGCCACGGCTCATCACGGCTCGCCACGGCTGAGACAAGACAACGTCCGCATTAAAACGACTCGCCGGGCAATTAAAAGCAGCTCGTGTCGCGGCGAACGCGAGCAACACGGTGCACGCGCGGGGACCGGCCGGCGCCTCCTCGGGGCGGCCCCTGTGAGGGCCGAGGAGCACGTAAGCATACAGAGGAAGTGTCGCGCAGAGTACGGCGGTGTTGTGCACCGGCCGGCGGCGGCATGGCATGAACATAATATACACCGTGAAAATGAGTGTAGTTGGTCTAAAACGCCTGTGTGTTGAGCACATTCATAGCATTCTACGGTTGACGAGTCTGATTGTAAATTTACAACATTTTTTGTGAGTCGTGATAATTTATATAATCGTAAATTAAGAGAGATAAGATTGTTGAGGGTGATTAGTCCACGGTAGAACATTTTTCTTGTATTTAAAGAGTCGGTCTTGGATGCCATTGGCGTTCTCCATAAAGGTCCAGGACAGAGTCTTGATGTATACAAGAAACTTTTTTTTGCCGTGTCGCAGTTCTCGAAGGGCCTAGCTATTACAAAATCAACACGTAAACTAGGTGCGCTGTTTTATTAAGCACAAGTCATCCTGCGAGCCATAGCACCTGCTTTACTCGACAACTCCAATTTCCAACATCGTATAAAATAACGAGCTATTAATTCCTCCTCCTACACGGCAGCAACTTTGCCCTATAACTTCCACGCACTTTTTTCCACCATAAAAATCAATGGCTCAACGCATCGCCCCTCCCCACATATGCCCCATTTGTAAGTGACAAGTTTATGCAAATCGATTCAGCGAGGGGGAAATGAGCATAAAATCACTCGCGAGGCATTCCAGGCGATTCCAGGCCATTCTCCCACCTCAAGAGCGGCGGGGCGGCGCGAGGTGGGGCGGGGCGGAGCGGAGCGGGTGGCGTCGCGGCGCCCCGCTGAGCGCGCTAGCTCCTCCAGGCACGGCGCATCGGCGCAGTGAATCAGCAAAATATAGTCTGCCATTTCAATGAGGCGTGTTCGGGAGGAGGCGCTGGAGGAGGAAGAGGAAGAGGAGGAGAGGGGGGCGCGCGCCGCGACGCCCCACGACGCCTCAAACAGCCCGCCCCGCCGCCACGGCACACTACGCTTCTGGGTCTGGGCCTCTCCTCGACCCAATCCGAGCAAACAATACCTCCAGCGCCGCGACACGCCACGCCACGCCACGCCCCGCCACGCCCCGCCACGCCTCGCGATGCCCGATGCCATTATTAATGCCCAATTAGAGAACGATTACGTTGTGCTGCCCTGTTTTGCGGTCCCGTCTTGTCTCCCGGGTGGAGGAGGAGCGGAGGAGACGCGAATGAGGAATGAGACAGGAGAAAACGGGTGGGGGGGGGTGCGAGGGAGAGGAGAACGGAGCACATGGTATAGGAAGTTCAAGTCGCGCGGAGTTGGGGCAGGGGACGAGGTAGGGACGCGGCGAGGGGAAACTCAGAGGACAACCTACATTGAATTAAAGGGGTCTAATTTCAGGGGTGCAGGATGGAGGCGGAGGGGTAATGTCCCTTGCAACATTTTAACACAGGACACGCCATAGAGGGAGGGGGGGGGGGAGATGTGTCGATATGTTAGCCTGTGTTTCTATAGCTCAACTGTTAAACGAAATATCCCATAAGAAATCTAACTAACAGCGAGGGAGCACCTAACAATTAACTTGTTTATGCGTCGTCCAGAGGTGCCGCAGCTTTCAGGTAAGAGGATCAATAAGAGAAGCGAAGCAGTGAGGGTAACGGATAAGTGAGAGTGGACGGGAGTAGTGGACTGGAGTGAGTGATGTCGTGCGCCGCGGGAGCGGACTGATAGTGGAGAGAGAGAGAGAGAGAGAGAGAGGGATGGAGGGGGGAGTGGGACCCGGGCAGCTCGCTGGCACCAGATGAAAGAGCCGGAGCCAGCCGTCCCGGAGCCTTTCAGATTGATTGAGCGTTTAGTTCTGTTGTAGCGTTATTGGCTGAGGACGGAACACGGAGGCCGGGTCTAGAGCGGCCTAGAACGCCGTGGAGCAGCCTGGAGCGGGTGGGGCACAGAGAGCTCTACCCTCAACTTTTACTCAATAGTATTAGCCACCTTTAAGGGAGGATGCCTTTGCTAAAGTTTCATCTGCGCTCGATCTGCGCGAATGAGATATTTAGAAAATCAATCCAATAGCCCACCGTGGAAAAAAGCTGATTGCTCATTGTTATTTTGTTCATAAAGTGAAAGAATTGATACCATAATGCAATCGTAAATTAATAACATACCGTGTTTGTAAATCATAAATTTTAAAACAAAACATTCTCAACTGACACAGATATTTTTCACGGAGAGCTGCGAGCGCGGCACTACTCTTAATAATACGAATCGGGGTGGTCTCTATTCTTTATGAGTTTCCCCCGCGAACACGTCACGGCTTCGCCCCCTCCCCTCGGCGCTCTGCCCCGGGCTCCAAGGCAAGGGCTCGGCACCGCGCTCAGCACCTGCTAGTCCGCCCAGCGAGGAGGGAATGGGCTGTCGATTGGCGTCCTAAAAGATTCAAGCCGCTGGCGCGCGGATCTCTGGGCTCCGCAGCGGCTGCAAAGCGGGGCGGGGCGGGGCGGGGCGTCAATCATTCACCCTCTCGCGGTCCTGGTGCGCCCCGCCGCACGGTGCCGTGCAGTGGCGTGTCCGCCGTTTGGACGCGATGGGCTCGTCTGCCGGATGGCCGCGGCGCCCCTTGCATGTGCGTGACGGCAAACCCCGCACCACGCACCGAGTAAACCGATAATTTCCTGCTTTTATTTATTCACCTCGAAAATTTGCCCGCTCCTCGCTATGCTCACATTTTCCTCCTTTATTTGTTGACTTTAGCGCGCGCCCGGCGCACTGTTTCAAGAAACGAGACTGATTTTGGCTAGCGTGCAGCAGAAATTCAATCGGCGAACTGATCACTTCCCGGAGCATCGCCCGTGCATGCCGCGCTGCCCTCGTGGCCCACAGCCTACAGGGGTCAGCAGGGGCTGTAAGGGGAGG